ATATTAATTATACGGCTTGAGTGTCAAATAGAAGCTGGTGAACAATAAATTAAATGTGTCTCTCGCTTACTGGATAAGCGGCAAGACTTTCAGATAAAACTCGTTTTATGTCTTTATTACTGTTCATATCATTAACATTATATTCTACTAATCCTTATAATATAGTAATATCTCTATTTCAAAAAAAACAATAAATATGTTATTTTTCATTCATGTAAATGAAGCAACACTATTCCTGAGAATTAATGTCAGGATTCGATTTGAAAATTCACAATCAATTAAAATAATTGAAGTTGTACTGCAGTAAAACTGTTTCATAAATTTACTTATTTTTATAATATAAAAAACGAAACTTACGTCTGATGAAGTCATGGAATTTTCTGGTGGGTTCATCAAAGCTTGCAAACTTTTCTCGCTGATATACGTTTTGTTCACTCTCGCTACATCTTCTAAAACATTTTTAGCTTCTTCATACTTTTTTTTCGAAAGAAGCCACCTTACACTTTCTGATAAAACCCAGTAATAACATATGATCAAGAAACAGGGAATATTCAAAGCCATAATAAAGTATCTCCATGGTTGAATAACCCAAGCTACTCCACCAAGAATTACTTGTCCCAAAGCAAACATAGACGACGACGTAGCACTTGTGATTACACGATACTTTGGTCCAACGAGCTCCGCAGCTGGAGATAATTGAAGTTTAAATATAAAAATTAAATGATGGTCATATTAAATAATGATATTTACTTCATATAATTAAAATAGGATTACCGAATATGTATGCAGTACTGAATGTTCCTGATCCAAGCGAGGTTTGGAGGAGTTGAAGGATCAAATACATAGTATAGTTGACAGAGAATGCACGAATTAAACCAATAAGTGCGAAATTAAAAACACTGATTATAAGAGCCCATTTTCGACCAAATCTATCAGAGATGTAGCCAGTAAACGGCAACACTAGTAACGTCCCTATACTGCTCAGTGTGCCTGCCAAAGCTCTTAACCATTCTTCACATCCCAAGTCAAACTGAAATAAGTACATACAGATTTAAAAAAAACCATGTCGCTGGATGTTATTTTTATGAGCTAAGTATAGTTTGATCAATATTATTACAAAAATCTAGCAGGGTACATTTTTATAAAATAGATTTATTTACTGATTGATACTCACCTCATATACCACAGAGTTATCACTTGCGTAAACAAAACTATCACATGAAACTGTTTGCATTTGATTGAATAGGTTAGCTGGGCAGTAGTCCAGGGTACCGTTGGTTTCTAAATTCATAGACACATACCGTTGACAGCTTGAGAAGCCTGAGTTGGTTTCTGGTATAGCATTTAGAATCCACTCTGGTTCGTAAAGGTTCAGTTTACTGTCTTCACCACATTCCGGAATCCGACATCTATTAATTTAGACAATTAAATTTATTAATCATTTTAGTGCCTCCACTATGTATCAAGAATAACCAAATACCGTCAATCAGTCGAGTCCGTCTGTCTGTGACCATGATTGCTGTAAATAGTTGGAAACGTCGTGAGCCAAAAATTAAAATAATGCCGCGAGAAATTCCAAAAACATTGTTTTATTTAAATAGTATCAAAAGGTGATCGGTATAATGCTTTATTCAATTTTTTTTCGAAAATTCTAATATAAATGAATGGCTTTCATTTTCATTGCTACAGTTAATTTATTTTGTAAATTTATTCAATTTTCATCTCCATTCTTGTGAAGCCTCGCTCTTTAAACATAGGCCGCCGTACTCAACGTAGAAACGTTGAGTACGGCGTCAAAGAAGATCAAGGTATTCCAAAGCCAAAGAAACAGATTACCAAAATCATGCATGGTTGAGAGAAAGAGCCATTCAACAGCTAAAAATGTCAACGTACACGATATGAACAAGATTGTTCTAAACAAAATTGTAGGTGAAGCAATTAAAGTAAGATACAAATCAGTTAATTCGGTGATAGACCAAAGTAGTAAATTTTCCAACTGAATTTTTCTACTCACTTGATGTTCTCGGATTACCATCACACATTTTGAACTTGAAAATTGGAGTGCCAATTATACTACTTAGAAACCTCAATCAGTCTGAGTTGTATAATGGTATAAGATAAGCAGTTAAAAAAATAATGAATAAATAATCTAATTGAAGCAACAATTTTGATCGGAACTCTTAAAGGAGAAAGCGTAATACTTTCACGAATACCAATTTCCAATACCTTTGGTATGACTTAGATAGTCAAAAAGTAAAGTATAGTAAGTAGTAAAGCACAAGGATAATCTTCACAAGTGTATCCTTTAATTTTAGAAACTATACTATATCTATGTTTATGCTGAAAACGGACAAGCAATAAATTTAGTCTTTCCACTAGCATTGCAAAAAAAAATCACAGAAACGCAAATTAAGATATTAACTTAAGCGTTTCCTCGGTAAATTTATAGTTGAAAGACTATTTGTATTGACTCCCATAATAATTAATATCAGGCAAAGCCACAGCAAAGCATGGCCGGGTTAGCAAGCATAGCTAGTATAGATATAAAACTGAACTGAAAAGAAACTGATAGACTTGTATTAATAAAATTGAATTAAGCATGAGTCGTTAAGCGGATACGTAAGAGTCTTATAACAGATTGACTACGTTCTGAACAATTATTATCAAATCTGAACTTATAGATGAAATGTTCTATAATAACTAAAATATAGACAGCACTATTCACTTTGTCGAAGCTGGACCAAATATAAAATTATATTATAATAAATTTATTTATATTACCTGTGTGGAACGGCGGCTACGGAAAAAATATAATCGCTTATAAAAGCATGTGAAATAATTGGAAAAGCAACCAATAAGATATTTCTTAGCTGGAACCAGCCGAACTGCCCCAACTCGTTAACTAACACATCATCAAGATCTAAGGGTTTCTCATACGCACTAGCTTTTCTTCTATTGTCGTAACTTTGTTTTCTTGATGGAGCGTCTACTCCATTTTCTGTTTGATCTTTAGGCATTTTGATTTATTTTAGAGAACGCGGTGCTCCATGCCATGGAACCCTTTTGAGTGAGTGTTTAATCACGACATTTATCAACATTTTGTCAAGCAATAAATGTATTATCATTTTTTTATCTAACTTTTCATCTATTGACGTTTGTTAATATACCAAGATTTTGTAACATAATCTGATTTGAATTAAATTATTTAAATGTCATACTGTTTTTTTTCACTTTGATGGCCGATGGAGCCGAAACGTGCTAGAGTGGAGACCGCGTTTAGGCCAGCGAAGTGTAGGACGCCCTGCAGTACGATGTACACATGACCTAAGAAAGCTGGCAGTGGATGGATGCGGCCTGCCCAGGACCAGGATGGTTGGCGCTCATTGGGGGAGGCTTTTGTTCAGCAGTGGACGGCGTTAGGCTGATTGATTGATTGAATTTACATAATTACATTTAGGACTAGCAAATTTTAAGGAGGAATTACTCCTACGTTGAATTAATTTCAAAGGCGTAGTCAGAGGTTATCAATGTATTCGAGGTATGAATACTGATTCCTCGAGAGCACATCCAGCAAACAGCTCTTAAGGGACCAATTTCGAATAATTTGATTAATAACACGTATTGCAAATTTTTTATCTTGAATACTTAACTTTAACAACAAAAGTGGCGAATTTTGTTACCAAGTTTACCCAAAATTTTTACCCCCTTACGGGATAAATTACGACACTGTCAAAAATTTAGAAAAAAATGGATATATATATATATATATATATATATATATATATAATTATATATATATAGTAATGTGGTATTATAACGCGTTTTCTCGTAGGAATGAGATAATCTCCCGCGGAAAAAGTAGCTTATGTCACTCTCCAGCCCTCTAACTATCTGCACACAACGAATAAACGAACGAACAAACTAACAAACAAACAAACAAACAAATAAACAAACAAACGAACACACTTTCACATTTATAATATTAGTATAGAATTGAAACTTAATATGACATCGTTAGTAATAAACAGACACAGGCTTAGACACACTGAGTACTCACATATTTTTATAATATTTCCCTATTTAAATCATAAAAATAAAATTTCCAATATTTTCACGATTCTAGACATATTATTTAAAGTTTAGATAGAATACATTGCCATGTTGCCATGGTATGCGTTGTTATTGTCTGACAAATGTATATTTATGTTAAATAAAATGTAAAGTAACTTTTAAACTTGGTAAAAATATTATTAATAAAATAAACCTTATAATTATCTTACTCCTGATACTCTATAATATTCATCTCAATCTTTCATAGGTTAGTTTTTTAAAGTTTCACTTCTACCATGTGTGAACACACGCACATTTTCTTTAGTTTTAAGTAAAAACTGGAACAGTTTTTGTAATAAGTAGTAATTACTAATACTATTTCAGTTTTAGTTTCACGTTCTAGTCCATATCATAAAAACAACTAAAGCGATTTTGATAAAATCTTTACTTTTCCCTAAGATGAAATAAATGTTAGCAAATAAAAAAAGATTGATCACAATCCGAGTCCTAATTTCGGAGAAATGCGTGGACACACATACATACACACACACCCGCACGCACGCACACACCCACATACATACATACATACGTACACCTATCAAATTTGGTATATTTGTTTGGAAGCCTTAATATATATTATATGTAAATATTTTGCAGTTCCAATAATACTTACATACTTGTGAAATTGATAACCTCCTTTTTTTGAAGTCGGTTAAAAAATACTCTAAGCATTGTTTACGGTAATAACTGGTTATCATGCGTTATTATATCATTGACCATTGTAAACCAACACAAAGGCATCCCATCATATTTCCATATATACTTGAGCAAAATTATCCAATTACACATAAAGTGATATGTTAGAAACTCGAAATCGTAAATCTAAGAGTATAAATAAAAGAAGTCTCAAAATCATAAGTAAAAAGTAATAGTTTTTAAAATTCATTACAATGCCTTTTGAGTTGAAGACACTTGATGATGTTGTAAAAGTCTCATTTGAAGAGAGTTTGTCAGACATAGTGAGTGGTTTTGGCCGGTATCAAGTGTGGCAATGTCTTCTTGCCTTAGTGCCTGTAGTATTTACTGCTACAAGTAACACCAATTTCGTGTTCGCTGCTGCGTCGGTCAACTACAGGTACGTTATTTGTTCCATTAAATGATGTACTCCTCTAACCGACTTCGGCCACGAATACCAACTTCACTGAAACTAGCCAACTGCGCAGGGGATATTATAACAAACAAGTATGTGCGCTAACGCAAGTATATTCTCGAATGTGATTGAGAGGTTTCGTTAGATTGGTCTTAATTCTAAGAGTGACACTCGGTGTATCAAAATTAATAAAAATTAAAATAGCCGATTTTTGGCACCATATTATGTCATCAAAATTTTTTCCCTCAAAACTTTTCGATTTAGGTATGGAAATAAAGGTTTTTATAAATGACTAACAAAAATATACATGATTTAATATTTATATGTTTAAATGTAATTTTGAATGAGAATTGATAAAAAACAACCCGACTGCTTAAAAAGCGAACTAAAAAGATGAAAACAGGTTGACGAAGGAACATTTTTTATAATAGCTGCCTGTGTGTAGGTCTCCGACTGCATAATACTGTGTTCCTTCGTCAACATAAAAATTTTTTTTTTTCTTTTTCTTCTTTCTAATGTAAGACTTTATTCAACGAAATAATTTTTGTAAGCCTAAAACTTGATGATTGCTGCAACAGATTCTTCTTTCATCTTTCTCTTCCCCTGTTCGATGTTTTTCTTTTTTTGTCTGCCACATGGCTGATATCATAGGATGACTCCAGACTTAGACTGCTGCAAGAGAACCCAGAAGTAAAGGGTGCCGGTTCAAGATCTATATTCTGTCTGGATGTAAAAACTGAAGCATCAGTGAAAGTCTCATTTTCTTCAGGTGATCTAGAATTGGCCATTGATGGATCATTAGACTGGGTGTTTGATTTCGTTGAAGTATCATTAACCGTGTAGCCATCTTTAACTGCATCCTGTTGTACAGCTAGATAGTCGACCTCACTAAATATGTTTTCATTCAATGACCTATAATAGTCCTATGACATGAAATCCATTAGGATACATCTACATAGATGTAAATTCTGCCTTTAATAGATTCAGATTTTACATTATTGATATAATTAAATGATCTAATGGACTATTTAAATGTGTTGTCAAATTAAAAACATTTTTTTTACGTCACGCATAACTTACTGGGAAATAATTATTATAATCGGTCTATCCGTTTTCTACAGATGTGCAGTGCCGCAGTGTGAGGAGACCAATGCCTCTTCAGCTTTGCCTAAATGGTGGCCGGCTAATATAACGGACTATCGCTGCAACAGACCGATCTATTATCACAATTATAGTTGTAACTCCGATGACTTCGATCACTCCGAAAGCTGTAACGACTGGGTGTATGATACTCAAAATTCCATCGTTGCTGAGGTAATTAAAAAATTAAACAAGTGGAATGTGAACTGCATAGACGATTAATGTCCTCGATACAAAAAGGGTTATACTAAGTTTGATGTATATGTCTGTATGTATATAGTTTGATGCAAACCAGTTCAGTCACGATGGTTTAAGTTAGAAAGATAATTTGATTAATATAATTTATGGCTATATTATATGAAAATCCATCCAGCTGTTCAAAACTTACGATACCCATTCTGGCATGATTGATTGATGACGTCATGAATTTCGTTACATTTTAATAAAATTATAAATGCAGCCTTGACTTGATACTTTTAAAATAATAGTCCCTTAAAGGATTACCTCTCTAGTTTGCTAACTGTTTGAAATAATATTATTGATTTTTTTTGGAAAACATATTATATGAATAAAATTTACCTATGTTTACAAGAAAAATCCATTTTTTTTAAAAACACTTGTCAATAACTACTAAATAAAAAAAAGACAAATCGGTTGACAAACAAGGTATAAAAAAATACTGAACTGTTTTATCTTTACTTTGTTACAATACTTGAAGTAGTAAATAATAAAATTCTAAATGTTAAAATTAAATCCAATTTACTATAATTTCAGTTCGACCTCGCATGTCAGGAATGGAAGCGAACGTTAATCGGAACTATACACAATTTGGGTGTACTAATGGCCATGCCTCTGATGGGCTTTGTCTCAGACAGGTAAACTATAAATACAATACGTTATTTACTGCACTGTTCCACTTTTGATATTTGAAAAATGGCTGTTAATTTACATACAATTAAAAGTTTAAATACATATTTAATTAACGTGATAGTGTATTGTGCCTTCTATTCATATTTAAATGGATACTTTACTCTAGCCTTAGCTGGCACTGACCCGAAAATACTCTTTTTTACTGCCTTGTATTCGATATACATTTTGTTGCATACATGCACATATTAAAAGCCATTATTTATTGAAAAATGTAAAATATCAATGTATTCTTAAATGACATCGCACGAAAATTATTCTTTTTTATTATATAAGGTATGCTACCTTCACTAAAAAGTACAAAACTAAGTCATTTCTGTATGTTTGTGTATGTGGTATCTTTGTATCGATTAATCAAAAATTTTGAATTCATATGATATTATCATCATTTAGAAAATTTGTTGGGCTTAAGGCTCTATCATCATGCTAGCAGTGCAGTAAGCTCAATTTGGAGTAGCTATTTTAAAATCACAAGCAAAAAATATATTAAAAAACGTATCATACGAAGCGCATAGCTTATAATTAAATAATAGTAAAGTTTGGGTCTAATATAAGCGAGAGTGTAAGAATACGTAAAAATGTTATATATTTAAATTTTAGTTGTCTTATTTCATATTGCATTTCAAACCGTCAACTCTATGTAAAAAAAAAAGTCTGCCGACGTTCTCACGTGTCCGTATAATGCAATAGACCAGGTCATTGACCAGTGTAACGCTAAACTCTTTCTTTGTTGAATATATCTGATAGATATAAAAGAATCTAGCAACACGCACTGAAATATACTCTAACAAGAAACTCGCATACAGACGAGAAACCAGATTCATTCTCATAAACCTTAAACCACAAATGCCATGATCCTAATAGTAGGGGAGCCCAAGAGGGGATTTTCTGTAGTTACTCGAGCGCGGCAGATTAACATAAAAGAGGTTACCTTGCACTCTATTGAGTACTTTCACCATAATATAAGTCTTCTATATAAAGGGGCGCGTCTAGGGAAGCCGATTAAAATATTTAAAAAATGTTTTGATAAGGTAAAAATACTTGAAACCGTCAGATTAAGGTGTGGTAGGCTAGTCACATCCTGATAAGTGTCTAATTTAATAATCTGCCGACTTGCACAAGCCTAAGAGGCAAAAATCATTATAAACTTTATAGTCGATTTTTGACTTATATTGTGGTGAAAGTACTCAATAGAGTGCAAGATAACCTCTTTTATGTTAATCTGCCGCGCTCGAGTAACTACAGAAAATCCCCTCTTGGGCTCCCCTACTATAAAGGGAACTCGTCTCCACAGATGGGGACGTCGGACAGCGATCATAATAAGCTCTATCAGTTTAATTATTGGTGCCTTTAAGACTCTAGTAGGAACAGGCGCTACGGGATACTTGCTTTACGCCACGATTGAGTTTATCGAAGCGCTTCTAGTCACCGGCACTTACACTACATGTTTTGTGCTTAGTAAGTTTTTTATATGTAAATGTAATGTGTATATTTATGAGATCGAAATAGGATATATTTAAAATAATTACATGTATGTATTATGTTACTATGTTCAAAAAATCGTCTCTATTAGACTACTGTACCTATAATTTTGGATAATGATAATAACAATTAATCGTCACATACTGCGACAACATTCCACGCATGACCAGAAAAGATATCTTCCGTTACTATAAAAATGAAAAATTTGTTTGTTTATTTGTATAAGCATTACCAAGCGACTACCACATTACCATTGTGGTTAAGATGTACCTAGATTCTAGTCCCGGGTGAAGCTAAATGAAGTTAAAGGATTTTTCTGTCGAGAAATTCTCAGTAATAGAGAACTCCAGATTCGGAAATTAGAGGTGTAATACTCCCGTGCCTCGGAGACCATGTGAAACCGTCGGTTTTGCACCTGATCTTTCACTGACCGTATCGAATTGAAGTCCTACTTTATTTTAAGAGTGGAAGGAGTAGAGAGTGCACGTGTCTTCTGGCAAATATCATTGAGATTGGCTTCCATAGCTGAATTCAGTCAAGAGAATATTAATATTGTTCTTATCAATTAATGTCTTTGAGTGCTTTTATTACTGGCAAACAATAAAACATGATACACAAATATAAGTTCGGTAAGAAGCTTGTAGCGCAAACACATGTTATTGAAATTATAAGACCTTTCTATCTTCCTTTTATTACAGTTCAGATAATAATCAAAGGAATTTATTAAGCTATAAGTAATATATTGCTGTAAGAAATAAAAAAATAAATTGCGTATATAAAATACAATACTAAAGTCATATCTCTTGTGATATAAATTTAAAGAATATTGAGCATTGCTTGCACTGTATTGTCCTCCAACTTCGTCGACTTTAAGAGTATGCCTGCGATTGTCGTGGTACATTTTCTACACATCATTTTATCCGTTCTAATGTGACACAAATATTATTGCTGTACAGGTATTGAACCTGTTGCTACTACAACGCAAATAATCTGACAAAACGGATTATGTAATGAGCATCATATCTGTAAAATTCAATTCTTCTTTCAGTTGTTGAATTAATTGGAAGTGACAAAAGAATTATAGGTGCAGCGGCAGTAGGTATATCGGTCGCTGTCGGAGAACTAATATTAGATTTCATAGTATGGAATATACCTTACTGGCGGCACTTTCTGCTCGTCATCTACTGCCCAGCTCCATTCTTTCTTATTTACATGTTTATGCTAGAAGAAAGTATTCGATGGCTTCTTACTAATGGCAAAGATGAAAAGGCTCTTCTTTTACTCCAAAAGATAGCGAGCTGGAACCAATTTGCCATTTCTGATAAAACTATAGACGAAGTTAAGAAAGAATCAAATGAGATAAAGGTTCAGAAAAAAGAAGAGTTTACCTTAAAACTATTGTTCTCCTCTCCTACATTATTGAAAAGGTATTTTAACGCAAAGAAAAAGTAAATTGTTTAAATTAATATATTTTTCCACTACTGCTATTCTTCTTCCTATTCAATTCCAAGTTAAGGATTCTGATTTTTATTATAATTTGATGAGATTTTTTGATTCATTAGGGTTACAGTGTGTTCTTGGTGGTGGTTTACTGCAGCATTTGTTTACTACGGACTGATGATAAACTCCGTGACCCTACCAGGAAACAAATATACCAACTTCGCTCTATCGTCCTTCGCCACCATTCCTGGAGATATTATTGCTGTGATCATGCTTGATAGAATTGGTAGAAAAAAGACTTTACTAGGTGGATTCCTTTTTTGTGGCATTTGCTGTGTTGCAACTGGTTTTATACCTCAAGGTAAAACCTTTTTTTACCCCTATTACATTTTGAATTATGCATTACTTAAGCGTAAGATTATAAATTCGATCCTTGTACATATTTTTTATAAGTATCTAAACTATACTTATAGAGGTAAAACTGTTTATGATATTATATGCATGCATGCATATATAAAATGATGTTCTTAGTAAATAAATAAATAAATAGGTTTGGTGAAAGAAAAACGATTAGAACATAACATAAACCTGCGAAAATATAAACAAATGAAGCTATCAAAATTTTAGAGAAATCGCTAAAATTTTTAAATATAGATCTATCTTATTACAGATTATAAATTTGCGTCGTTAGCTGTATTCTTGATAGGCAAGATGTCCATATCGGCATGTTTTAACGCGGTGTACGTGTACACATCCGAGCTGGTGCCTACCTCAGCGCGAGGCTCGTTAGTGGGCACATGCTCGATGGTTGCTCGAGTAGGAACAGTATTGGCACCACTCACTCCACTTTTGGTAAGAAGATATTATTTTATTAGCACGATTGTAGCTTGATACGGGCAAAATCATGTCGTTTCTTTGCGTGGTCCAATCAATCAAATAAAAACCTATTTGACTGCTCTATACAAAATTAATCTGTGTTCATGATTTTAGAATAAATATACAAAATCAAGCCAGAAAATAATAGTACAAAATCTTAAAAAAATGATTAAAGAACCTATTATTACTGTTAATTTTTATTTTTTTATTTAATTTTTATTACTGTTCATTTTACATAATATGTACATTAAAAACAAAATTGTTCGTATAAATCTTTTGAAATTTACTGCAGCTAATTTTTCCTGTTACTAATGAGACTCCATTGTAAGGATTACTATATATTTTCATGGTAGGATATCATTCGTAGTAGGATTACTGTAAAATTTCTTTATTAGAGTGATTGGTGGCACTCGTTACCGACTGCCCTGTTCGGCTGTGCCTCTCTCTCCGCTGCCGTGCTGACGCTGGCCACACCGGAAACCCTCCGCCGCCCTCTCCCGGACACGGTCGCTGAAGCCACGGCTATGTCTTAGCAACGCCATTGATAAATTATCATTTTAGTGCTATATTGTTTTATTAAATATCTGTAGTTTTCATGTATAATGTATATAGGTACTACGAAATAAAAAATTTAACTAGGTCTTACTTGTATGTTGAATATCTTTCCAAAAATGTATGTCATAAAGATACATATGTATATATGTAATTAGAGATGAAGACAAGTAACAGTATTTAGCTCGCTGCAGAATTAAAATATCGTTTACCTTCAAAAGCTATCTTTCTTTGATGCATGGTAAAACATATTACTTACTACAAATTTAGAACAAGATAAGCCTAAAACTTAAGCACTTCAGGAGTCCAAATGGGTGATAAAATGATTAAAATATCCACTTATTTTTACATCAACATATATTTCATAGTTGAATACATTTAAATTCATATATAAAAACTTACGTATATTCGTTTTTAATATTATACAAATTTACCCAACGAATGGACAAAATGATAAAACTCTTATAAACTACACCTAGTGTTATAACTTAAATCTATTTCATCCGTTTACAAGTCACTAAGCATAAATTATCATTTAGATTTGTACTTCGTTTACACAAAAATCGCATACATTAAGTATTTAGATTTGACTTAAAAAATCAAAAATGAATTTTATGGGTCACTAGCGACTCACCCTCGCTTCGCTCAGGTTCATCCCTAGTAAAAAACAAAAGCAAGTCTATTCCACAGGAACTGTAATTTTTCTGGGATAAAAAGTGATTTATGTGCTATTCTTAATACAATATGTGCTATTCTAAATTTCATCCAGATCCATTCAGCCGTTCTAGCATGATTCAATAACAAACATCCATCCAAACTTTTGCTTTATTTAACTGGTCTTGTGTAATAAGACAGAGGTCGGTAGTTTGATTTTCGCAGTCCTGATATGCGCCATAAAGTGAGATGTTAGGTTAGGCTAGCACTCTTTACAGACTGTTTTGAAACTAGTGTGGGGATGAAAAAATGGCTGATCCTATAATCTCACCCACAATTATTATTGATAATAAAGATAGAAAATTTAATTGATAAATTGTTATTCATATACTAACACTTGTTTTTAAAGTTCCGCACTCAACTGCAAAAATCGTCATATTCGTTCGTTTCGGCCATTTTCTCCGACTATTGACAATACATTGTTGAATTTTTTAAACTATTCAAAAACTTGCATCGCTAGAAAGTACTAAGCTAAAAGAGATCAAAGCGTCCCATCCTAACTGAAGGGTGAAAGAATTTAAAAATTAAGTAACTATTTAAAATTACTTTTATTGATGTCAATTCGTGAATAAGTAAGGGGTAGACATTCTCAACTTACAAAATACTTTCAAGAAAAAATTGTTTTGAATAATAGCACCTTTATAGAACAGAACTTCAAACTAGTTTTTGGTGCTGATAAAATATTATTATTATTTATTGCATATGCCTAGATATTTTATTTCACGTTAAACCCAAAAAAATAAATAAAATAATACGGTTTCAGGAATAACAGGATTTCTTCACATCACAGTCTTATTTAATATAAACAAAAATATTTTTTTTAGATGGTAACCAGGTATATTAATAGCGGTCACTATTGTTTATTTCACTTTTAATGCATTACATGTAACTGCCTCGGTGGTTTAGTGGCTAGCATGTACGGCTGTAGATATGGAGGTCCTAGATTCGAGTTTCGGGTCGGACCGAGTTTAATTACCGAGTTTTCTTGTTAAAATATTTTCAGTAGTAGCTCGGAGTTGGCAAGTTGGTAGTGTTACACCCCCGTACCTCGCAGAGCACGTAAAGCCGATCCTGCGGTTTAACTCTCACTGGTCGTGTCGAAATATCGACCCATCAGACTTTGACATTAAAAGGAATGAGAGCTGTCGTTTCGGGCGGCACCAGTTGGCCCCACTGGCGAGTAAGGTCCTATCGCTGTCGTTAAAAAATATTTATTATTACGGTAAGGCCATAAATTTAATATAATAATTATAATTGTTAGCGCGGCACCAGTTTATCTGGATTTTTTTTACATAATTAATGCCTGGGCGACCGAGCTTGCCTCGGAGTTTGTGGCCGAAAAAACATTAAAAATAAAATAAAAATTTGAATACAAAAAAAAAACAAAAGGTAAAAACTTTGTATCCGAAATGGATACGAACCCTTACACCTATGGTTGTCAAAGTTACGCCTTGACCATGATGCTTATGTTCTAGCGTGCGAATTAACGGCCATATTTTGCGTGGAATAACGCAGAACAAAACCGCATGAAATCTCAAAAACACGCGTTGTCCCAGACATAAAATTAATCTAGATCGATTTATCGCCCCCGAAACCCCCAGTATACTAAATTTCATAAAAATCGTTGAAGCCGTTTTCGAGATTTAGATTATATATATATATACAAAAATTGCTCGTTTAAATACATTATAGATATAATAACCAAATTGATAAAATGTTGACTTAGCTCCTCTTTTGAAGCAATAACATTTGTTGAGCCGTACCTTGTCTGATATAATTAATCAGGAATGGCACAATATTTACAATAATCGTGAATAATCAGTGAAGGTCCGCCATGAAAAGCTCGCAAACAGTTAACATTTAGTGTCATTTGACAGTTCTAGAGACCTCCCTCTACACTAGCTCCTCTCACGGATAATTCAAGCGCGGTAGCCCTCATAGAAAGTACACTTGTATCTGCGCATACCCTTGTGCACTGCACTATAATATTATCTCATGCGCAGTTGGCTAGTATCAATGAGATTGGCCGCCGAGGCCGGAATCAGTTAGGATATATTTTAATAATATATTAAATATGTTGGGACATTAACACGCAACACCATCTAGTTCCATGGTAAGTTACGAGGCTTGTGTTATTGATGAGAGAGTTGATACACTACGCTTATATAACTTTAAATACATACATGTTATAAATATATAATACACCCATGACTGAAATACACACATTCATGCTCATCACACAAGCGAATGCCCCCAGCGGGACTCGAGCCCGCGACCGCTGGTACAGCAAGTAGGGTCACTACAAACTGATCCAAACGTATTGTCGTATTTTTATTGCATTATTAGTGCATAAGTAATAGCGGAATAAACAATAGTAGATAAGTTAATATTAATTTTATGTATCTTATATTTGAGATAAGTCTTATACTCTAGGTTTACGTAGGTGTTTATTTTATAAATCAAAATTAATGCAAAAATAATGTTTGGCAGAAATAGTTTTTTTGACAGCACATAGTTACATACTAACAATTTATATTTATATTATTATACACACAATATTAATAAATTACGTTTCTCATATTAAAAAAAAACAAAGATATATCCACAAAAATATATTCCCCATGTATTTACTTGTAATATAATTAGGAATGTACGTATTTTCGTTTGTAAGGAATGCGTTCATATACCATTCATCTGATTGTGATGAAACATTTTTAACCTTCTTTGGACACGCTCTACAATTTCTTTGACAAAAAGTGACGCGTAAGTTGTATACGATCATCTGATAATTATTAGTCTTGATGCGACAGATACAACGAAAAAAATCAGGTAATCAATATACAAGGGTCACTTCAGGGCGGAGTCAGAACAGATAGTACCTGTTGCATATTTAGTCTACAATTATGTCAGTGGTCTGCTTCGTCCGCGGCGCCACGGAGATGCTCTCAGCCTGCTTAACAGTATCTGGTAGGCGCATGTGAAGTGTTTCCGGTGTCAGCAACATCAGTAGACCGGAAGTTGCGGCCATTATGCCGAATATAATGTATGGCAGAGCTTCCATGTAAGCCATCTAAAAAAATTGTTTTATATTAAGAAAAAGTGTATTATAGAATTTTAATTTCAGTATGTAAAAGTGAGGAGAAGTAAAAGGGTGTGTTGGGTGATATTTTAGGAATAACATTAATCTATGGTAAGGTCAAATGTTAGTAGATTTGTCTTCCATTTCCCTCGACTACAAAAATATGTATAATACACTACTCTATTTGTATTTAGTATTTACGATAATCAGCTAAATACTTTCCTACCACAGATAATTCTACGTAGTCATCAAAGCCAAATATATGTATGTATGATTCCATTCTATACTAAAATACATCTACATATATGTACTTGGAAGCACTCGTAGATTCTAAATCTAACCAGTAAAGGCGTCATAGGCGCAGTAGTCGAGCCCACCCTGCCTATCATGGAGCAGATGCTCATCATGGAGTGCCTCGCCTGCGTGGGGAACAGCTCGATGGTGTAGATGTAAATGGATGCGAAGACCATGCTTATCGTCAGTTTCCCCAACATCGTTAGTACTATTTCGAATTCTGTCGGTATTTCATTTTTTTAACCACACACCTATTCGCTAGGTAGTTACTGCTTTTATTTTTAAAACTTTATTTGTAGTGTAAACAATTAAAAATTTTCAACCTTTGATCAATTTATAAAATGTGCTTGGGAATAACAATTTAGATAGTGTTTAAGAAAAATAATGGAGTTAAATAATATTTAAAGTCATGGTTATTCTTACCAAAACCCCTATTTTTAACCGACTTACAAAAAAGAGGAGATTCTATGTTCCTGTATGTTTCTATTTTTTTTTATATACATATATGCACATATGTTCACCGATTTCTCGAAAAGGGCTTGACCGATTTTGCTAATTTAAATTTTGTTATATTAAGGTAGGCCTCGAGTCCCATAGGTCGATGCGAAGCAAATCAAATCTTTTTCGATATGTATAATAAACACAAAAGGGTGAATAATATTTTAACTATAATTACCTAAAGTTCAATCTTCTCATATTTACCTACTAGATGTTGTCATCTTAAAGTATTGTCGGCATTCTTAAAGCATCTAAAGTAAATGAAAATCTATATTTACCAATAGTGGTGTTTGAGGGGCAATTACTTGTCCTATTCTACCGCACATAGAGCAAACAGCTACTAGGCTGTGCCGCAGCGTGGTCGGGTACAACTCAGACGTGTAAATGTAGATACTACTGAAAGCCATGCTAATACACAACTTGCCCAACAAGTTGAGACACGTTTGTAGCCAAAGAAGATCTGAAACAAGAACTACTTGCTACTTTCTATTCTAACAACAAATAAACGTTAAAGCAAAAGATTATTTTGTAAGCGTGGCTAGTGTATAAGAAGTCTAAAACCATATTTGAAACTAATAAGTAGTGTATATATTAAATTTAATAGTATTTTACCATTCAAGCTACGTTAAAAAATTATCCATAAAAGTACCTACTACCTCCTACCAAAGCTATGATACAGTGCTTATGGTTAGTATATAACAAATATAGCTTTATATTACTTTATTCAACATTTAAAAAGTGATTTTGAATCTTACTTTCCGGAATGAAAGGTAAACAAACGAGAGAGATTCCGCACACGAAGAACGCCGTCATTATCGAACTCTTCCTTCCAAATCGATCCAATGTTAGAACACTAATGCAGTATCCAGGTATCTCAACTAACGCAGTCAATATATAATTCACATAACTGTTCCCCGCGAGAGAAACCGAATTTATTGAGAGTCCATAGTATATAAATGTCACAGTTATCCACCAAAATGAGCAAATTAATAGTCTCGCCATTATAATCCTAGATTTAAGCACTTGCAATCCAAGAGACGGCTTCTTATTTTTATCGTCTATTGGCAGCTTAGAGGAATCCTGTTCAGAAGGAGTTTCCTCTGTCAAGTGCTTGATTGTTTCTGGAGATAGTTTCTTCTTATTGATAGCGGCTGCTTTAAAAAGTATTCTAGCAGCTTCCTTCTTATTTCCTCTACTAAGTAACCATCGCACACTCTCTTCTATTAGAAAAAAGTAGAATATGAAGAGAAATGAAGGAGCGTATATAACTCTTGTGAGGGTCCTCCACTCGGGTATTGCCCACGCGACCAGCGCCACCAACGCCTGTCCGATGGCGAACGTGCAAGAAATTATATTACCTCCAAGGACTCGGCGATTGAGACCCATCATTTCCAGAGCTGAAGTAAAAAATATATATTATTAAGTCTTTTAGTTGTCTACTAGAATGTAAAACCTAGTGTAGAATAATTATTAATTATCTCTGTCATATCTCTATCAATATGAAAATCGACCCCTTGCACTTTAATACTGGGAGCACTGCAAATATGCATGAAATTTAACTTCCAGAATAATGTTTTGTTAGCACATTAGATCTAAAGTTATAGTAGATGGCGCCACGTTACATTAAAAAAAGGATATAAAGCCTTAAAACACTGGCATCCGCGTGCATAAAGTAATATTATTTCAATTAATAACAACAGAATTAATAAATAAGATCAATATTAATACACTAATTAATAATATAGTGTCATTACCGAGAATAAATCCAGAGCTGTACACGCCGGCGCCTACAACTGCTTCGATAAATTCTAAAATCACATATGTGAGATAGTTTTGTGAAAAGGAGCGTCCTATGCCCACGAAGGCTGGCGCCACCGCCGTAGCAATGAATGCCACGCGACGCCCGAAACTGGAAAATAAAGAAAATGCTGAAATGAAAATATACAAACTATAATATTCTACAAATATTTTATGTTATATATGCGGCTTATTTTAAAATTATAAACATACTTTAAATTTAAACTTTAACTTGATTTAAGCAACTAATTAATAAAACTATTTGGAACGAAAATGTATGAGAGCATACACTTTTGTGCATTTGTGCGTCGTTGCACGTGTTCATGCGTGTGTGATGCGCTAGCGCAGCAACGAATTCGTACGTATATTTCAATAGTAGTTAAAAGTAGACGCCTAACCAGCTAATTGATTAAATTCTATTCAAATTAAATCAAAATAATTTCCTTGTTTTTTCTAAATATTATCTTTATTAAGAAAGAAAGAGCATCCGTTTTAATTATCTAAATTTAATAATAAAATACTGGAATACATCATTTAACATTTGACTGATTTGATGTAAAAATTAAGGCAAACAAGATTTAAGTAAGGTCGCTAAAAGCTTACTGAGCTTACTTATCGGATACATAAGCTGTTAGCGGCAACGCGAAAAACAGGCCCGCACTATGCAAGGTCCCGACCAACGTGCGCTTCCATTCTTCGCAGGCGAGGTCGAACTGAAACACATTAGAACAACATTATTATGCATTACACTATCTGCAAATATCTTAGGAATAATTAATAATAGATGTTGTGACAATTTACTTATATACATAAATGCTAAAAATGGTGAATAAAATCAAACGTTGGTGTCCTCCAACTTTATGTATCTGATAGAAAATAATATCACTTGTATGATAAACGCTATATTACACAACAGAAGATGAGATAAAATCATCCAAAGATCATTCTTTTAATATAGACACACATGTTTGAAAAACACTGGGAAATACCAACAAATATGTAGAATTAAAACTACTCAGAAGCAAATAGAAGCTTATGGGAATTGTAGGGAAATATTATGGAAAAAGGGTACATTTAAGCATACATTCTCGTACTTACTGTAGTAACGATACTGTTATTATTTTCATATATCCAACTAGAGCATTTCTTGGTGTCTGTAGGGTGGAAAGATTCGGGGGCACACGTGGTGCCGACCAGCAGGTAGCGCTCGCACCGACCAGCCCCGTCCGGGAGCGCCCAGCTGCCCCAATCGTCTGTTTCGAGTTTTGGCGGAACGGCCTCGCATTCTGGCACTTGACACCTGAAATTTTTTATAAGAAATCAAAATTAATCGAACTAGTATTACATTTGCAAAAGTAAAAAGGGGAAGGGAAGGGAAAAAAAAGTATTTGTTATTCCTTCAACCTATAATGGTTTATGGATGAAATTGACTCCACAGGTAGATTATAACCTGAACTAGCATATAGGCTATATTGATATACATATCCTAGGAACATATCTGAGCGAAGTGAGAGTAAGTCGCTAGTATATAGGTAAATAAATCGTTTATCACATAATATACTAAACAATTTTTTGGCCGTATTTCATTTACGAGACCGATAAAATCTACTACAACTATTACCATATCTACAACCTAACATAAAAACAAAGTAGTTTTGTACAAAAGTAGTAAGTAAATATAATAAAACACTCCACTTCACTTTACCCACCTTTTTTATTTGTTGATTTAAATGAAACATTAAAATATTAGTATAAAAACATGAGTACCGAATGGATAAAAACATACGAACGAGTATTTCTGTAAGTCTAGTGTCAGATTGAGGTGTAGCCCACTAACAATCAATTGACCTTCTACTCTATTTAATACAATTGTGCAGACATTTTATCCCTTCCTTTGTACATTGATAAAGCAAACTTCACGGAGGCATCATCAAAATGTGCTCCAAATTAGAAATATTGTTCTAAATAGTATATGGCTCATATTAAAGTAACTTTTGTCTGTTTGCCGAATAAGTATAGTGCTATCTTTTATCTAATTATATCCTTAATTTCCGGTACTTCCTAGGCAAAGATATTATGAATAGCGAAGCATATTATGATCGAGACATACTCGTATGTAGCTATATTTAGGTTTATTGTTCATACAAATAATGATTTCATACACAAATCGAATAGGAATTAAACTCAAGTCCTCTGTTCCTGAGTTTATCCACAAACACAGGTACTCCGTCCCCCGCCATCACAAACAACAATAGATGAACAGACAGAACAATCTATCGGAAGCATATCACGCGCAGAATTAATAGGTTTTATTTTTCCCCGGTCAGCCTACTACTGAGAATCTACAGATGCATACTCATATAATTAACCAGATCCACGCCTGAATTCCAAATCTCATGATTTGAATAGTAAACATTAAATTTAACTGGCTTATGTAAGTATTTGTTAAATAAAGAAATGAATTTTAAGATAATTTGATAATGTAATGCGTACATATTAGCACGCAATATCTTTTCTTAAAGTATAATCTTTTTCTTTATTTTTCCTTCCTTAATTCACAGTAGCAATAATAATTATACCAGATACAAAAAGTTTATAAATAGAAGATGAATCTTGATTATTACTCGTCCAAGTATTAAGACAAGTTTAGTATTCAGGTCCAAGGCAAAAGGAAAACAAAAAGGAAGATATTGCAACATCTGGTATTATATGTCGGAAGAGCCGAGACATAACATTTCATGTGGCCCAAGGCGTTATCCTCTACGTGACTTAAATCAACGGAATCTGCCCACTGTAGCTCTGTACTCTGTGCTACTACGCATTTATAAGTCGTAACTTCCTAATCTAATTTGGATATTCCTTTGACCGAAACGAGCAAAGTATAAGCTGTTTTAAAAATAAGACTGGGAGATTTGTTTTGGTAAATAGAAAGAAATTGGAAGTTCAAAATCTGGTGATCTCATGAACTGCATATTTGAGGGTTTCGTCTTTAATAGGCTATTACTAGACCCCGTTACTCTTATAGTGACTTTTTGTTATATACCTATCCCGGTGGAACTAGTTAATATGTCGAAATATAACGTAGGCGCATACTAATCTATTAAAGCGGTCGTATGACAACATAAACGTTTTTAACGGATTCTTATCAAGTTAAGCAACACAATCGTAGCATTTCATCAAATCTTTAATACTTTATGTAAATCAAATTTTATAATTTGAGACCCTGAGCAGGACATAGGATAGTTTTTTATCCCGGAAATTATCCCTTAAGGGGGTAAGAATGGGGATGAAAGTTTGTATGGGGAGGCAAGCTAGGGACGAACCCAAGCGAAGCGAAGGTGAGTCGCTAGTGTGTGAATAAAATCGTATTTACTGCTATATTTTCTTATTAGGAGATTATATTATATCTATTGAATTTGAAGGGCCCTCATTGACCAGATCCCTCGCTATCATCAAAACATGATTTCCATCGGTAAGTGTGTACTCCATTATTACAAAAGTCATTAACACTATCTGACTGCCGCCAGATCCCGGCTTATCCTGCCGATGTGAGCGTTCGATAAGCAACCACGTCACGACATGTAGACTACTTATCTATATGTCGCGATAATTCTCTAATAACGAATATATTATGTGAAAATGACATATTTTACTTGATGACTAGATTATTTTACGCGATATTAACTTCCACGTTTTTGCAATAATATTTGCCTTTTGCCTAAAATAACATGACTTAATAAAAAATAAAGATAAAGTAGGAAGTACATATATACATAAATTATTTATTATAAATATTAATTTTAATCTTCAATAGTACCAATTAAACGATAAATATTCATTTTGCTATTTTACATACCACATAATATATTAGTATACAATATTATCATATAAGAAATAAGTCACAAAGTATATTTTTTTAAACTAGGTTTCATTTAGAGTAACTGAATCCTGAATGACCAAAGAATCTTCTCCCTGCCATATCATCTATGCCACTGGTATTCTTTTTTTTTTCGGAATAAAATTTGTCAGTTTCGCGAAACTTTCTATCCGAAAATTAAAATCTCATTATAATAGGGCCAGACATTCCGAAAATTTACCAGTACAAAAAGATATAAAGAATGCTACTGGTGGTAAAGACTTTGGTTACACTAAGTTTTATACAGTAAAGTTATTTTGAAATCATAGATATTTCAATTTAATTTATAAGTATGAAGCGTGGATTAAATAAAATCGAACGATTTCAGATAAAAGTCACAATCTCATTAATCTCCTTGATTACAGAATTCAACGACCTTCGATCACGCTTACCGTGAATCATCACATTCTACACAATCCACCAAAAACATATATTTCCAAGACCCTCGATGATCTTTTGTTTGGAGTTTAGTGACTAGCAGCTTGTGTTCTTTGCTTGTGATTTTATTATATGAAAGAACTACGTTTAAAAAAACCGACTTCAAAAACTAAAAAGTATAAAATAACTTTATAAAGATTTAATTTAATACACCTCTTATGCAAACCTAATATTAATAAAATACTATTATTTGTATGTAGATAGCACATTGATAGGTGGAAAGTCGACCTTACACCAGAACGACCGCGGAAAGAAAATAAAAAAGCATAATAATAAGTTTGAAATATCATTAGTTATATATAAATTATGTGTTTGCAGGGTTACCCTTTGCATAGATATAATTTAGAGACTGCAAACTAAAATATTTAAAAGTGGGAAGGAAATATCGAAGAACGCGCGAGTGAGAGTCTAGTAAAGAATGGGCGAACCAATTAATATGTTGTTTTAGAGAAAATTAACAAACTACTTGTTCAAAAGTGTTGCAAATAATATCAGATGTATCATGGAACCTTATACCTACACTCTCGCCTACGCCTAAACCAAAACAATGCGACCCTGTCGTATGTTCTACAAATAAAATTATATATTTATAATATAGTCATGTATAAATTATCCAATACTGTGAAGTAAGGAATTGAGGAAAATACAGATTTTAACATGAAAATTATTGTATAAATGTATATTAATTACCACGTGAGAATAAATCAGCTTTATTTTATTTTAATAATCTATGCATATGTAATAGGTTACGTATAATAAGCATTTACCGACGGTTTTACGTAACATATTATTTAAAATACATAAATAAATAAATAAATAAATAAATAAATAAAAATAACTAAACGGTACTTACGGTACTTTTCTTCACAAAATTTCTGTCGTAACGATCTCTCAGAAGAAACTGCTAAGTTTGCAGCCGAGAAAAAACGTTTAAATATGTAAGTAGATAGATATTTTAAGTGCCGCTTTAGTGCTAATACATAAAATAAAATATTGATACACAATATCTATTGTTTAATCGATCAGGTTAGAAATTATGTGATATAATACAAAAAGTGTTATTCATGTCATAGGCAAATAGCGTTCCCTGCAGGTACTATCGCTTGTATCACGGAAGTGTCAAGAAGGAAACAAACTAACAAATTAATTATTTTAATATACTATAATAACTATAATAAAGAACATACAATGTAGGCCAAGACGGTTGGTAAACAATTACTTGCACGAGAAAAGGCTCTTCGGTATTAAAAACTTAATATAAGTAATTAAAAGATAGAAATAAATATAAATGAATTATGGAGCATTTCACGTGAAGAGGACAACGAAAAAAAAGTGAGGTTCTGAAATTCTTCACAATAGACATATTTGCACTTCTACGGGATATGAACATCTACACCTAAGAAAAACCAGATTACTCCTTAGAATCCCATAACTTGACAACTTAACTCAAACTCAAAATAATACTTTCTTAGATTTACGCGAATATTTGACATTATTTAGATTTTATTTGACCATAGTCTCTTCCGTGACCATGATTGCTGTAAAGCATTCGAAATGTCGGGAACCAAAAATCAAAATAAATCCGCGAAAAAATCCGAAAAGATAGTTTTATTTAAAACATATATCAAATAAAAAATATATGACGTGTAACAACGTATGTACATTTTCGTATATCCCCTAGAGGTAAACATATGCCTAATATGAACGAATTTCAGAACCTCACTTTTTGGTTGCTATCCGCTTCACGTGAAATGCCCCTTACGAGTATATTTACTATTGTAACATTCAGTTATTTTATGTGCCAGTTTGTAGATTTTGACAATAGATTTTTGGATATGTCAAGTGGACAGTCGGTGATTCGGATTATATGAGTTAGGAATATAAAATATAAATGTAAAATGAGTATTCAGAAAAAGCGAGAAATATAATTGTTAATTGCCAAATAT